TCTTAAGGATAAAAAAATGAAGTTTCTATTTTAATAGTTTCTCTATATTTTACTCCTATTTAGATTGATTTCCTTTTCTATAAAACAAGAAGTGACAAATTATATTTTATGAAATGCCTTGTAAGAGTAAAAATTAAAGTAAGTTAATGTTGGACAATGTGCTGTCATTAATATGTATATTTGCAATGGAACTCCTCCCCTAGCTTGAGTGGCGTAGCAAGCTCACTCCCCAGGATCCATGAAGAAGTTCACCCAGGTTCGAGTTCCAGCCGAGCCGAAACATTGTCTCTTTGTCAATAGCATTCAAAAAGTATATTTACGATGTTCTTTGCTCATTGTCTTTTAGGTTTTGATAATGACAAAAAGGTGACAAAAGACAAACATCATATTGAACACCAAGGCTATGATTCAAAACATCTACAAGTTCATATTCGTCCATGAAGAAGCTACTTGAGCATCCTTTGAAGGACTGGGACTAGTCGTTGTTTCCTTGCTTGGGTAGTCTTTTAGGTCATAGAATGTGTATGAAAGAGTATGGCATCTCTAAGATTCATTCCCTTATTATCCTACCTTCAGAACCCCTTTTAGATCAGCCTTTGTGTGGAGAAGTTGATCTTCTGTTCGAATAACCTTTGATTTATTCAAACAAGCCGTGATTTTTCTAGTGACTCAAAATGCACTATTTTATTTTAATAAATGCAGTATCTTCAAGCCATGTTATTCGAATAAGTGAATATGTATTCAAATAGTACGGCAGTTTCAACTTCCAAACAGTTAGTTTTTCAAACCTTTTGATCCATAATCACTCCCCAACTTCTATAATCTCCAATATGTCTTGTTTTTTCGTAGTAAGAACATCAAAAACACATATCAAAGAACATTTCCTTTGAATATCAAAAGAGATTCTATTCAGTTCCCTTCTAATATCTAAGCAAGGCAATGATTTTGTTTGCTAAATACTTTCTTGCTTGAGTTTTTCCTCATTGCTTGAGTCTCTGAGAGATTTGGCCATATTCTATAGGACTTCATTGTATTTGCAGCAATCTACTCCGTGTTGGGAGAATAATTCCACTGTGGTTTGTTTTCTTACTTTTTGTAAGGGATTTGTATTCTTGGTTTTAAGATTACACCAAGTGGTAGAAACCCTAATGGGTTGTTAAATCAAATGTTAGTGAAAGAAATCTCGAGTCTAGTAAAATCAAGGCTTCTGTGGTAAGACAAGTGTTAAAGAATATCCCACATCGAAAAAGTGTGAGGAAAATAATGGGTATATAAACTCTTAATTTGAACTAACTAATCGATTGTAGTCAATCTTTTAATGTGGTTCAGCCCAAATGTCTTATTAATTACCCAATCTAGTTATTCTTACCCATCCTAAATTCTATCATGGTATCGGAGCAGGTTTTGGCCCACCTTGTTTGTCAAGGTGTCCGTCTAGACGTTCATTCCTAGCGGCCCGTTTGTCTTTAGCCCAGTTGTCCGTATGGAGTATCTACCCAATGACATGTGACCTGTTTCGCACGATTGCTCGTCTAGAAGTCCATACCCAACGGCTCATGGTCCTTTAGGTGTTGGCGGCGCTCCGAAAAAAATCAAGGGGATGAGAATCCATTTGCAAGTGGTCAACTGGTTAGATTCAAAATTGCCCCTTCGTCCACTTGAGGGAGAGTGTTAAAGAATATCCCACATTGGAAAAGTGTGAGGAAAAATAATGGGTATATAAACTCTTGACTTGAACTAACTAATCGATTGGATTCAAAAAAAATTAAGGGGATGAAAGTCCATTTACAAGTGGTCAACCGGTTAGATTCAAAATGGCCCGGTCGTCTACTTGATGGGGAGTATTAAAGAATATCTCACATCGGAAAAGTGTGAGAAAAATAATGGGTATATAAACTCTTGACTTGAACTAACTAATCGATTGGATTCATCAATCTTTTAATGTGGTTCAGCCCAAGTGTCTTATTACCCAATCCAGTTATCCTTATCACATCCTAAATTCTATCAATAAGAGGTTTGTCTTGAAATCAAGTTCTCGAGTTGTATTCGAATTGTGAAACTTCAATAAGTTTGACGGGTTGGTAGTGAAGTCTCGGAGATGTGTGCTTTAGGAACTGGATGTAGGCATTAGGCCAAACCAGTATATATCGTGTGTTCATTGCTTTTTATCATTCACTCTATTTTGTTTGTGGTGTGTAGGTTTTGATCGAGAATTTTGTGAAAAACGCTTCCGCACAAAAACTCGGTCATATGGGCAACACCTCTATTTACCCCCCCTCAAAGGTGTGCAAGACGTGTGACAATTAAGTTTGACCTTATTAATAGTGCTTGTGAGTTGTAAAGAACTATGTGGACTGTGAGAGTAATATTCTTCTTTTATATAAATAAATTTTATCTATACAAATTTTTTTCTTCGTGAAATTATGTCACTCCATAGAATTTTTATATTAGAAGGGAGACTAAGAGAGGGTAGATCTTTAGGATAGGTTTGGTGAGTTTTGAAGATATGAAAAAAATTTAAATTCGATAGAAATTACATGAGTTTTGAAATCTAAAATTAAATCATTTAGAAAATTTTAATTATGTATAGGTGGGGGTGAGGCAAAGAGGTGGTTAATCAGCAGTGGTGGTAGAATTCAGTGGCGGGGTGTAGGCGATAGTAGAGAGAGATATCAAGTATTTAGGGAACTTTTCATATTTGAAAATCTCAAATTCAATTTCTTTTGTATGAATTACCAAACACTCAAAACAAATCTGAAACTCAAATAGAGGAATATATGGAAACTCATACTCCCTCCGTCCTCTCAATGATTTTGTTTATTTACGCAATTTCATTAAGTGTTTGATAAAATAAAGTATTTTTGTCGTCTTTTGTTTTGTAGAATTATTAACGTAATTTTTTAATATGTAATTTTTATTCCTTATTAATATATCAATTTGTAAATAAAATAATTTCAAAAAATAAATTTTATTTCTCATACATCTTAATTTGTAATCAAATTGGAGAAAGAGCAAGTATTTATACAGAGTGTGTAGTCGATAGTAGAGAGAGCGAGATCAAGTATTTAGGGAACTTTTCATATTTGAAAGAAAAATGTTAGGGGTACACCAAAGGTGTACTCCATTTGTCCCCCACCCCCTCCATTACCACAAAAATAGGCAAGAAACTAAAAAAAATTAAATAAGTAAAAATGGAGTAAAAATGAGTGGTGGAGAAAAGGGTGGGGGACATATTTGAAAATCTCAAATTCAATTTGCTCCATTCCCTAGCATTGCTCTATTTGAAAATCTCAAATTCAATTTCTTTTGTATGAATTACCAAACACTCAAAAAAATCTGAAACTCAAATAGAGGAATACATAGAAACTCATACTCCCTCCGTCTCCATTTTGATTACAATTTTTTTTCTCTTCTCGATGATTTTGTTTATTTACGTGATTTCATTAAGTGTTTGATAAAATAAAGTATTTTTGTCGTCTCTTGTTTTGTAGAATTATTGACTTAATTTTTTAATATGTAATTTTTATTTCTTATTAATATATCAATTTGTAAATAAAATAATTTCAAAAAATGAATTTTTTTCTCATACTCCCTCCGTTCCCTAGTTTTTGTCCACATTTGACCTTCGGAACTGTTCATCTAAGCACTTTGACTTATCAAATTCTCTCAATGTGTAAGCCTAAATATAGTCATGTGTGATCTTGTTTGATTTGTCTTAACATATAGATTATTAATATATAATTTCTATAATTTTTAATTATACAAATTACAAGATAAAATAGATTAAAGAAGTGCATTGGATGATGTGTAAAAATGAAAGTGGACAAATAGTCTGAGACGGAGGACGTACTCATTGTGCTTATTATTGTACTCCACCGGCTCTTCCCGAGCCACATGTTTCTGCTCCACATCTGATAATAGGGCTACCAATTAAGCTGGCATTTCAAAACTCCATCAACTCATATCATCCAACTTTAAAAAGAAAGGAACAATCTCGTGAACATCTCCATTCATTCATCCATCCATATTATACCCATTTGCCTCAAACTTGACCTATTACTCCAACATTAATAAAACACACACACACACATATAGAGAGAGAATCATGTTAGCTAAAGATGTCATCATTACTAGGGCTCATCATCGGTCAGAGACTGGACCAAACCAGACCGACTCGAACCGGACCAAAAACTGAATTGATTAAAATCATGGACCGAAGACCAAATCTAAATCTATTCAAGTTTGGACCGGACCGGACCGAATCGATCCAAACCTATTGGGCCAAATAAAAGTGCATATTTTTTATTTATTTTGATCAATTAAATATATTTTAAATTTTTTACTTTGTATAGAAAAAATGAAAAAATAGGCAACTTAAAAATAGATACACAATATAAACTACTTCTATGTAGAATCATAAAAACTAATGTGAAATATTTTTTAAAATTTATTTAAAAAAAATTACTTGATTAAAAGACTTATTAAATAAATAAATTAAATTATCTATTAAAATAAAGCATCAAAGTATAATATGGAATTTAAAAAGTAGACTTTAGTATTTAGACCTTTTAGTTCTAATATTTAGACTTTAGTATTTAGATCTCAGGTTTAGATCAAATCAGACCGTAACCCGAACACTTAAATTTTCTAGACCGAAGACTGATCCGAAATCCATTCAATCTGGATTCGGTCTGGACCTAATTGTTCGGTTTGCTCGTTTTTCGGTCGGGGCCTAAACGTGATCAGCCCTAATCATTAAAAATTTTATTCAAAAAAATATCTTTCTGTTCACATGTTTCCTATTCAAGAAGTAAAAAATAATTTATTTTGTTAGCCTATTTTTGTCATCCAATTACTAAAATAATATAACCATGACATATATAAATTTATAAATCTTTTGATATAGTTTTAAATATATAATTTTTAAAAAAAAATTCACATCATTTTTTATATAAAATAATTTTTTAAAAAAAAACTTAAATGTAGAGAGAGATAGTAATAGGGAGCCAAACATTATATTCCTCCTCTAGAAAACATCCCTAATTTGGTTTCCACTTCCACAACAAGGCAAAAATCTACAAAAACAAAACAAAAAAAGACAACCTTTCTCTAGCTTTTTTTTTCTTTTGGTTGTTCACTGTTTTTTTTAAAAAAAAAATTAATTAAGGAGTAATATTAAAAGCCCCTAAACTAAGATTAGATTCTTCTTCTGGTTGTTCTGCAGCAGCTACTTGTTCTAGTCCGTACTGTTTTATTTGTTGTAGCTTAGACTTCTCTGGGATCAACAAAAATGGAGAGACTAGGCTGAGACTTGGTCCAATCCCCTACTGCCCCGTCACTGTAGTCCTCCCCCAGCCGTTTTATGCACCACAAGTCATCGGCGCACGATAGCCTCTTCCAGTGCGGGATCCCTAACGTGAGCGGGTCGCCGTTCGCCACCTCCGTCGCCACCACTCCGCACCCGCTCTCCTTCGCCATGTTGTGGGCGAAGCCGCACAGCGCCTTCGTGTACTTCGCCCTCCGCCGCCCCTCCCCGCCCAGCCCGTACAGGAAATGCAGCCCGAACGGCTTGAACACCTCCGGGATGGACGGCAGCCGGAGCCACGGGAACGCCCGGTCCAGGACGCGCGTCGCCTTCGCCAGCCCCAGCAGCTTTCTCGACGCGCCGCGGACCTCCAGCTTGAACAGATCCATCGAGTTCCACACGCTCAGCACCGCCCACGACTCCGGCGGGTCCGCCAGGAACTCCTCCGCACCCGGCCATGTCCCGGCGGCGTAACTCCCCCTCGGCACCGCCAGAAATGTCCCCAAACTCAGCCTGTTCCGCAGAACGGAGTCGATGTCGCGCGGGAAGAACTCCGTGGTGGAGAATTTCCGGCGGTAAAGCACCTCGGCGTCGGCGTGGCCCAGCTCAAGAATGGTGACCCGGTCGGAGATCCGAACCCGGTGGGCAAAAACGGGCTGAACCAATATAGAAGGCCTTCGAAAGAGGGAATACCCGCACTTCTGGGTGAACAGATTAATGGAAGCTTTATTGTCATTTTCAGTCGCCATGTACGAATACTCTGCGCCATTCTCCCTGAACCAATTCTCCATCTTCCTCACCAGTTCAAACCCAATCCCCATTCTCCTGTAATTCCAAAAAAAAAAACAGAGCACATATATGAGCGATTTACATTCGAATAAACTCCCGCAAATAACCCTTTACTGTAAATCAGGCGATAAATTAACTACCTGTGAGAAGGAGAAACGCGAAGGCCTAAGAGGTAAGCGACTTTGGCATAAACAGGGAGGGGATTATTATTGTTGTTGCTTTTGCTGTTTCTAGACATCTTCTTCCCGCAGGTAACCGTCTTGATGCAACCTCGTATCATGCCAACGATCTCCCTTGTCTCTCCGCCGCCCTTCCGGACCACCACCACCTCCGCAACCTGGCCGGAAGAAACGAAAAACCGTCACGAGAAGAAACGGGGGGGGAGGAAACTGAAAATTAACACTCACGAGCATTCGGTAAGCAGGGGAGTTTCGAACTCTGCAGATTGGGTCACCCAAGAGGTCGGTGAAGATGGAGAGTTTTCCGGCGGCGCCGCCGGCCTCGCACGCTCGCTCCGCCTCCTCCACCGCCTTGGAATCCTTCTTGGCGTCGAAATCTCGCACCTCAACTCTCACCATCATCTTAATTTAATTTAATTATTTATTTTTTTTGATGATAAAGATGGGTTGATGCGAACAGAGGAGAGTTATAGTGGTAGTAGAGTGATGAGAAGTGCAGGATGCGGAGTTCTATTTATATATAGACTTGTATACCACAATAAGAAATTAAGAAGATGAAGAGGTCCGGTTTTCAAGGGGAACCCCGGAAAATAAACGTGAACCTGAAGAAAGTAAGGCCAAAAAAAAACCAAGAAAATCTTATCGAAAAAAAATTAAATTTTTTTCAAACCCATTTTGTCAAAAAAATAATCAAATCAATTACAATTTCAAATTTTATATTTCAAATAAAATTGATTAAAATAAATAAAATTTGACTTAATAAACAACAATAAAAAGATAATTTCTGGAATTATTTTAATTTCAAGAAACAGAGGCCCTTGACGGCAGTTACATAAACCCGTACGATCTTAACGATGATTATGTCAATATTCGGATCGGATTAGCACTCCATTCGAAATCAATCTTTTATTTTTTTTTCTTGTAAAGGATCTGATGATCAAATCTTTTCGAGTGGAGTATTTATTTTAAATCAATAGATTGGGGAAATTTGGATTTAATCTGAAGAATATATATATATATATATATATATATATGTAAACAGAGGAGTCATCATTTCAATAAAGAACCCAAGAGCTCTCCGTGTCTGTCTGTTACTTTGAATTTGAATTTTTTTTTATTTTTAATTTCATTCTGTCTCTTCAGCTTTTTCTTTTGGTTGGTAGCATTAAATTAGGGGAGGGTATATAATTAATAAATCAGGAGTCGTAGATTAATTAATGAATTAATTAGCGCTCAAAAAAAATTGATTAATAAATGTAAACGGGTAAGAAGAGAGGGAGGAAATGGCGGCTGTGGCTGCGGGGTTAGGGTTACGGCGTTGCCATCATGAGTCTATCTGTAATGATCACCGCTCCTTGAGGGCACGGCGTCACCTTGTACGGTCGTTTTATTGGCCTTCTTTTTTTTAATTCCCTACCTTCATAATTTTTTGTTCTCTTCCAAAAAAATGTACTCGGTCTCAAAAAAATAGATTCTTTATTTCTTTTTTGCAAAAGTTCCAAAATATAAAAATAATTTTTTTACGGGAAACTTTAGGTGATTAAAAGTCTTTCTCTTCTTTGCACCATTTTTAATTATACATTTTCATTTTTTTTTAATTTTGTTTCAAGTCAAACTGGAAGCCTTTTTTAGAACAGATGGAGTATAAAATGTCATCTCTTTTAAATTAGCTTAATTTATAAATTTATATAGCAATAAAAGTTTAACTTATGTGTTTAAAAATTATATCAAAAATTCTAGATTTCACGTTTGATTTAAAAATAATAATATAGTTTTATTCTAGACCGAGTATAAAATTTCTATTTTTATTCTAGTATTTTTATCACAATATATCTATTCATGAAAAAATACGGAGTAGAATAAAAAAGTAATACTCAAATTACCCTTACCATAAATATATATTTTTTATTTAGAAAAGTATTTTTGGAAACAAGGAGTTGGTATTTCCATGCGGTTTCATGTGTTCATCAAATGTCTTCCTAGCCCCAATAAGGAGTACATAATGCTCATGGTCATGAGCCCATGACATGCCTTCCTTCATCCTCAAATCACATCATGTCATATCCCACCGTGCCACGTATGATATCCCACCATGTCTTGTTTTATGCTCCCTTTCTCCCCAAAAGATTTTTTTCAATTTGATTTTTAATCAAATTTTTACAACTTTTGACAACAAATTAAATATAATTTAAAATAACTAAATTTTATAAAAATTTAATATTTTAGAACTATATTTTAAAATGAACCAATTTACTAAATTTATATTATAACTAAATAGATTTGTTTTATAATTTGCAATCAAAGAGTGCCATGGTTTAACTAAAAAATTAAATTGTGACGATCTTTGAGGAACGGAGTGAGTAATCACTCTTCCCATCCAAAACAATTTTTTATTCAGAGCATCACTAATGGAGATGATGTGGAGGGGGGAAGAATAAAAAAAGGACCATGCTACACTTACACCAAAAAATATACCCCATTTGTACACCACAAGCTTGCACAAACATTTCGATGGTTTACACCGACACAAGTGTTGGTGCGTTAATAAATATTCACACGGACACAAATGTTGGTGCGTTTAACAAAAATTAGTTTTACACCAACACAAAGTGTTGGTGCAAAACTGCGGGGTACAAATTGGGATACAAACCTTGGGGTACACATAGCATAATCCATAAAAAAATGATTAGAAAGGGAAAGGAAATAGATGAGAGAGAAGAAGAGAAGGGATTATTATTACCCTAGAGAGGGGAAAAAAATTTATTAGTCAATTATTTTTTTAACTTTTTTTGTACAAATGGAGAGATGACATGTGGAAAAAAATAATTAAAAAAGTAAAAAAATGATTAGAGAATAGTGAGAAAAATTGAATGGTAAATGATGTAATATTAAAAGTACATGATGTGGAAAAGGAGTAGAGAAGAATGACTAGTAATGCTCTTATCTTTTATGTGTATTTTTTAAAAAATAACTAATGTTATTCATTTTACTTTTATCTTTTGAATAAACTTCAATCACAACGTTCATTTTTTCTCAATTTATATGAAAACTAAATCGAGATATTTAATTTATTCTACTCAATCTCAAAAAAACATTTCACTTACTATTTAAAAAATTAAATTTCATCACACTAGTGGAGAGCTGAGGTGAGGATGTCTGCGTTACTATTTAGAATAATAGAGATAATGAGAAACAGATTAGTATTATCATTATTTTCGACCTTGCGTCATCGCAAGTCTTCATTATTAACGGTTGATAGTCACAGATCATGGCATCGCCATTCCTTATCTCTCTTTTTCTCTTCCAAACATTATGAGTGTGCCTAAAAATCCTCATCTATTATCCATCTCAAAAAAATTATGAGCGTGCCTAACAGCCGTCTTCCTGTATTCATCTTTCCCTAAAACGAAAATGATCAAGAACTCCTCGCTCCAATCGCCAAATCTCTTCATGAAAAAACTCAATAAACGTACTCTCAAGCTCATCAAACATGCAACGTAGATCTGCCTCTGTACTTCTATCTCCTATCCTCAACAAACTACTTTCGTCGGCTCCATTCTAGTACCTATAGCGAGAGAATATTAAGAATAATATGGATACTCTGAAACATGATATTATTATTATTATTTACTTTCGATATTCTATTGTAACATTAATTCCCATTTTTACTATGATGAAGATTCTTCATGTATTCTCTATATGTATTCATGTAAGTCTCATTATTTAATAAAATCAATTACTATTGATGGGTATATTGGGCCAATGTGTAGTCATTAATATAATTAGCTCAATATACTTATCTTGATTAGTCAATTCAACATCAAAGCCAGGCCCAAAAAATAAACTTATAGTCAAGTGATGGCCCAAAAAAATAAACTTATCTTGACATAATTCATACATTTTTTTTTAAAAAAAAGTTTTTTTTTACTAAAAACATTTATTTATTTATTTATTTTGTTTTATGAAAATAATAAATGCAGAAAATTAGTCTCCCTTCCAAATTAATCCACTTCATTTCCTTTTTGGGTTGTCCAAAATTAATGTCACTCTTTTCTATTTTGGAAAGCTTTTTGTGGCTCATCTTTTGTCCTTTAAATTTGGACAGAGAGGGTATTTAGTACTACCTCTGTCCTAGTAAAATAGTCTAGTTTTGAATTTTTTTGTCAAACAATGACACTTTTGGCCACAAATCGTGAAAAAGTATATTTAAGTATAATGTAATTTCAATATAATTAGATTCATATAAGGATATAATTTTGATATATCAAACTTTTATAACATTTATTTATTTAAATTATGTTTAATTTATAATTAAAGAGTATCAAAATGTTGCAAAAAAGTCAAAAAGTGGAAAATTGTCAGAATGTTATGTTGTTGTATTAAGCCTTAATTGTTATATTGGGTCAAGCCAGCCTTGTATGCCTATTTATACAAAAGTAGGACACAAACCTCTGTAATCTAGAACCGACATCATAATACAATCTGATCTCCGTTCTTTGATGTGGACGTAACTAACACAACATTGGTGAACCACGTTAAATCCATGTCTCTTTACGTTTTTGTTTGTTTTCGATTACTAAATTACTCTATTTCATTTTAACAATCATATTATCGTACTCGCTCAAATTAAGGCCTTTTCCCCTTTCGTATTTGCCGATTAACAATAGTAAATTACTATTGTCAATCGGCAAAGATAAGGGACCCTGAGGACAAGGTCTATAAGAATTACGATGTAGTAACTATCAAAATAGGTGTCTAAGTAGTTTTTTTAAATTACTTTTATCTTTAAAAAGGATTCAAGCAGTTTTTTTATTTTCAAAAATGAAAAAAAGAGACAACATTATAAATAGCCTCTTATATAAAATGGTATTTTCATATCTAGTCCCCTATTTTAAGATACAACAGTCGTGGTCTGTAATTTTTTAAAACTATTCCAAAATTAGTACTTTAGGCCAAGTGCGACCAAATATTTTTTTCCATATATTGTCCCAAAAGATGAGACTCATTATGAAATATTCCCTTCATCCTAATGTATTTTGTTAGACCATCCATAATAATAGTATTGCTTATTGTAGTGTTTCATTATTAGTCAGCTTTCTACTTCTATTTATGGTAGCTGTAGTATTTTTAATTGTGTTAAAAGTTCCTCCTATATAAACCCTTTCATTATTCCATAATTCAATGAACAATATTATTATTTCAATATTTCAATGAGCACGTCAACCTCCAGTAGTCACGTCAACCTCTACAACTCACCCCTTCAAGAAAGAAATTGTCCGGATCTAAGAAAAAGACAAAGAATGTCAAGAATCTTCAGTCAAACAGCACCTCCAGTAGCCTTCTCTATTTTTCTTCGATGTCAACAGCTACAAGTGCACGCCAACCTTTCTCTCTTCTTCTTCGACGTCAGCAGCTATGAGCGCACGTCAATCTTCTTTCTTCTTCCTCAATGTCACCAGCTACCAGCGCACGTCAATTTCCCTCTTCTTCGAGAT